AGATAACACATAAATACCTATCATTTGATGGAAGTAAAAAATCTGATAGTAACAAAAATCATTAAAGCAAGCCATTTCAGCTACTCTCCTCTAGCCTGCAGTAAAGGATCTTCAAGAACAAAATGAATGACTAAAGCATAAGCTTCAGATTGTTCCTACAAACTAGAGTAACAATTAATGTTATATCACATCTGTCAGCATAAACAAAAAATACAATATAATGTATTAATTAGAAAACAGGCACCTACTGTCAGTTGATGGAAACAAATAGAATCTTATTGTAAATTTATTTTATTGTTTAAAATATTTTACAAAACATCTATACATCTAATTAAAAAATTGTCTGGTCTGAGAAATACTGTGTCAAGCACAATAGTTGAAATATTTCCTCAACTAGACTTTGAGTAATACAAGATTCTCAGATTCTCAGGCTTGGGTAATAAATTATCAACTTTCAAAGAATCAGTGTCAACTAGGTTCTAGTTACACCACTAACTACAACACGATACTTAGCACATTTCTAGATCCCCAGTGTAAAAATTGCTACAGTGTCAATGCGGTGGATGAATAATGTAAAACACACCTTTTCAGCTTTGAGAATGAACTGAAAAAAACTCATGAGAGAGTGCAGCAGCTCAAGAACTCAGAGAGTGCAGCAGCTCAAGAACTCAGAGAGTGCAGCATCAAGAACTCAGAGAGTGCAGCGCTCAAGAACTCAGAGAGTGCAGCAGTTCAAGAACTCAGAGAGTGCAGCAGTCAAGAACCGAGAGTGCAGCAGTTCAAGAACTCAGAGAGTGCAGCAGTTCAAGAACTCAGAGAGTGCAGCAGCTCAAGAACTCAGAGAGTGCAGCAGTTCAAGAACTCAGAGAGTGCAGCAGTTCAAGAACTCAGAGAGTGCAGCAGTTCAAGAACTCAGGAGTGCAGCAGTCAAGATCAAGAGTGCAGCTCAGAGAAACTCAGAGAGTGCAGCAGTTCAAGAACTCAGAGAGTGCAGCAGTTCAAGAACTCAGAGAGTGCAGCAGTTCAAGAACTCAGTGCAGCAGCTCAAGAATTCAGAGAGTGCAGCAGCTCAAGAACTCAGAGAGTGCAGCAGTTCAAGAACTCAGAGAGTGCAGCAGTTCAAGAACTCAGAGAGTGCAGCAGTTCAAGAACTCAGAGAGTGCAGCAGCTCAAGAATTCAGAGAGTGCAGCAGTTCAAGAACTCAGAGAGTGCAGCAGTTCAAGAACTCAGAGAGTGCAGCAGTTCAAGAACTCAGAGAGTGCAGCAGTTCAAGAACTCAGAGAGTGTGCAGCATTCAAGAACTCAGAGTGTGCAGCAGTTCAAGAACTCAGAGAGTGCAGCAGTTCAAGAACTCAGAGAGTGCAGCAGTTCAAGAACTCAGAGAGTGCAGCTGGTTTGGTAGCAGCATAAAGCAGCATCGAGTCTTGTGAAGAAACTCCAGATGATATAACAAGGCATGAAGAACATTATGAGTTTGACTTTCATAAATGTTACGAAGAACTTGTAGACAGTATTCCCAACAACATCACGTCACAAACATCTGTCTTGGGATCATTTTCTAAATCACAAAAAAAGGAGAACCCACAACACAAACGTGGTGGCAGTTGTGTCATCACAGACATAAAAACAGAGATTATATATGGCAGTGGTATTATTGGACAAGTAAATACTCTAGAGTGGTGAAAAGAAAATGATAGTTCTTCAGTCTCTGGCAATCCTAGCCAGTAAATATACGAATTCACCCTCTCTTCGGGAGAAAATAAACGATTGGTCACCATTGGAGAAAATAAATCTTCTCATAGGAACAAATAAGCTTCTTTCCAGAAATGTGGAGATGTTGATGTTCCTCATCTTCAATTTTAGTATTATTAATTGTAGTTATTAGAGTAATGTACATATGTAATGTTTTTTCTAGGTTTCATATATTGGAATAATGTATGTGTTTCTCTATTTTTCAATGTTTTTCATGTGCAAGAAAGGTATAAAATACCGACAATATAAAAGTTAAGACACATGTGCAACATCTGGATATCTTTATTGTAGTAGACGTTTCGCCATCCAGTGGCTTTATCAATACAGATTCTAGGACAAAATAGGAAGACAGTAGAACTATATACAAAAGATGAGGTAATCAGTCCCTCGGCCTTGGAGTTAGTGTTCACAGCATCGTGGTGGAGGAGAATCTGGAGCAAAGACAAGAAGACTGGCGGTTTATATAGGCGTCAGTGGATAGGGACGGGCAGCAGACGAGGGCAAAGTCACTGGTAGGCGGGATTCCCCAGTGGAAGTAGGTCCTTCCCAAAGAGATGGGTTAGTTGCAGCAGCCGTGAAGGTCTTGTAGATGTCCTCTGAACCAAGATTCCATGATGTTGCAGTGTCTGACAAGTTGTGCAAGAAAGGTATAAAATACCGACAATATAAAAGTTTAGACACATGTGCAACATCTGGATATCTTTATTGTAGTAGACGTTTCGCCATCCAGTGGCTTTATCAATACAGATTCTAGGACATAATAGGAAGACAGTAGAACTATATACAAATACTCGTCTGCTGCCCGTCCCTATCCACTGACGCCTATATAAACCGCCAGTCTTCTTGTCTTTGCTCCAGATTCTCCTCCACCACGATGCTGTGAACACTAACTCCAAGGCCGAGGGACTGATTACCTCATCTTTTGTATATAGTTCTACTGTCTTCCTATTATGTCCTAGAATCTGTATTCATAAAGCCACTGGATGGCGAAACGTCTACTACAATAAAGATATCCAGATGTTGCACATGTGTCTTAACTTTTATAATGTTTTTCATCAAATTTTATAAAGAAACTGTAAACTATATAATGAAAATATGTCAGTTAATTCATTTTATTAATGGAGAGAAGTGCTCAAGTTCTTAACTATAATTTTATTTCCAGTGATTACGATAAAGAACTTATTTTTCAGTTATGACGATGTTTTAAAAGCTTCAAGTTATGTACTGCTATATAATTCAGTTTCATCTTTAATATAACTGAAAATTATCAGTTTAAAAAAAAATATAGGAAAAATATCGGCCCAAATTGGGTATCGGTATCGATATCGGCAAACATTTTGGTTTCGTCTCATCTTAAGAGATTTTCCCAGTGCTGACAACTTCATTTGTCTTCCTCAGCAACACAAAAATGGGAGAGACAGACCCACCCTAATAGATCCACTGAGAGTGAGAAAATCAGATTATAGATGAGGAACAAAAATTGAAGAGGAGTAACACAGTGAAGGCAATCAGGATAATCAGCCGTCAAAATATAGTTTCCCACAGAGATGCTGACACTTTACAAGCACTTAGTGAAAATGCGCTCTGCCTGGGAAACCAGGGACACCAGCAGTTCTTACGCCTCTGCCCCATTGTGGAACAACTGTTTGTGCAAGTCTCAGACGTTTACAGATTACTTGCCGCTCCCATTTGGGGACTACATTAGGGGCTAAACTGGAATAAGATTCCAGCTCTCGGAGAGATTGCAGAGATATTCCTATCAGAGATTACGGGGTACGTAAAAAATCTTTGGCTGGTCTGATTCCTGGCAAAACTAAACTTTTTTTCTTTGGCGCACCTCTCTGTTCTTCTAAAAAGATGAAAAAATAAACTAATTGCCGTGGGCAACATTCTTTGCCGCCTCGTTTCCCAAGCTGATGCCCGAAGTATTTCACACAGAGGTGGCCATGATTCGTCAACCAAAAGATCTTGGCTTTGGGGTCCCTCAAGGAAGTGACGCAGCGGTTCAAGGAGCAAGAGCGTGTATCAACAACCTACTTGAGAACAATGTAGTAGTAAAATTAGATTTCAACAATTCATTTAAACTCCTGAAAAGAGTCGTGGTATTATCAGCTGTTAATACAGCAAGAAATCGATGCTTCTGTTTAGGGAGCACGAAATCACTTCATGGGAGGGTGTCGAGCAAGGGAATCCTCTCGATCCAGTTCTCCTGCTTCCTGGATAATGGTACACTGACAGGCACGAAGGAGTCGCTTCAAGCAGATCTTGCTCAGGTGATAACACTGGGACATAATATAGGATTCATCCTTAATTCATCCAAATGTGAAATCCTCTCAGCCAGTAAACAAGTGATCGATGCAGTGAGATCCATAATACCAGGTGCATCAATCACTACCTCATCAGTGTCTTGCCTGAACACTTCTTGGAACTAAAGAAACTGACTTAATTCTCGAGTAGAAACTAGACGATTTGAGTTGGACGAACAACAAATAGGCAGTCTAGACACCCACGATGTCTTGTATCTTCTCACAAAATGCCTGAGTCTGCCTAGGCTAACATATTTCCTAAGATGTGCACCACCAGTCGTACTCTAGATGACTGACAGTGGGACTATGCTATACTTCCAGTCAGAATGGGTGTTGTTTTCTGCAAGAGTTCACCGATTGCACTCACTGTTTTCCTGTCTTCATGTGTAGCATCCAGAGTAAACTTCTTGAAGCGATTGTCCCTAAGCACCTTAGGGACAATGTTGGAGTTCGTGACCAAAAGTTTATTGACGGATCTAGGCTCTGGGATAATCTAACTGTCTCTGCAATGAAACCTGCTCTCCCCAACAACTACAGTCACACTGGGATGGCCCAATAGTGGAGAACATAGTCTCAGGACTGTTTCAGAGTATTTTGGAGGACAGACCTCGTCTCCTAGCAGTGAGAGCTGCTCATGTGGGGCATTTCCTGTTGGCTGTCCTCAGTTCCTACCTTTTCACATTCCTCGACCCTTAGACCATTCGCACTAGTGTTTCCCTTCGCCTTGCCACTCCTATTCTCGCCGAGCACAGGAGTATCTGCGGCAATAAATCGGCAGAGCGATTCGGATACCATGGTCTTGCTTGCCAATGATCTGAGGGAAATATTATAAAACATGAAGAGGTAAATAATATTATAAAGAGAAAGAAACCTTGCAACAGCCGGATGCCCAGCCACCTCAACTATGTAGATCCGTTGGCTTCCAAAATTACCCTGCAACCTGGACAGATAGTAAGTAGGTGGTGTGGGACTACACATTTGCAACATTGGCGTTAAGTTATGCAGACTTATGTTATCATGTTTATCCTCAGGAAGGCGTGTGATGGAGGCTCATGTTATCATGTTACCTCAGGGCGGCGTGAAGGCCGTGGTGTATACAGACGTGATGCAGACACTACTCATGTTCGGCGGGGTGCTGCTGGTGGTCATCATCAGCTACATTGATCTAGGTGGCGTTGGCAACATTTGGGCTGAAGCTGAAAAAGGCTCCCGAATTGAGTTTTTCAAGTGAGTGTGATAACGTAAAAAGATTGCATTTCTACGATTCTGCTTCCAAAAGAATCCATTGCATAATGTTGTACGTTTTATAATGGAACTCACATATATCATTGTAAGAAATGCCAAATGTAAATCAGTATTTCTCTGTGTAAAAACTCTCAAGCACTGTGGATCATTACTTCACGTAAATTCTTATATTAGTGTGTGACATATCCTGCAGTGTAGATCATTATAACTGCATTGATTCATCTTGTGTGAAAGACATTTTCGTAGAACTCCGGGAACAATGCTTCGTATTACATCCTTTCTGTACCTTTGCAGTGAAATCCTAAAAATACACAACTTAATTTACAGTCCTTATACTTTTCAAAACTTGTATGCTACCTTCTCTTTCTTTAGTTATAAAAAAAATCGGAACAAGCATATATTTCAATTCAGAGAATAAAATATAGCTGAAGTTGCAGACCTCTTGAAAAAGAATACATAAGCTATGTTTATGGCGTAATTTCAAGTATTTTTGAGGACACTATAATACCAAAAATTTATACATTCTTTTACTAACGTTCCTGGTCAATGGAAGTTCATGAAGCTTCTTGCTCCCTTGTTAGGTGTCCAGGTGCTCAGACCTCACAACGCTTGTTAGTGTCCGGTGCACAGTAAGTATAACGCGGCTTGTTAGGTGTCCAGGTGCGTCAGTAACACTCGTACTACACGGCTTGTTAGGTGTCCAGGTGCGTCAGTAACACTCGTACTACACGGCTCAGTGAGTAGTCTTTATAGAACGGTTACTAATTAAGGTTACCTACGTCCTTTTATATAACATATATGATTTTATTTGCATTTATATATTTAAAAACTAAATTGTATTTATACATTTATTTGTATTTTAATAATGGCATCACTGATCTTAGACTTAAACTTCCGAGCAATTTGAAAAATGAATCGGTAAGCCATAAGTTTTTATCACCGAATCTGAGAAATTATCAAGTTATTCATTTATTCCTTATTTGTTTGGAACCCTTTTTATCACTGGCTGCCGGGTTTATCACTGCGTATAAAAATTCTTACTAACCTTGTGACAATAAACATCTTTAACTTCACTATACAGACAGCAACATCAATAATTCTTTTTCCGAAACAAAAGCTGATAGCGACCTCGGCTGTTTATTGAATTCATTTTGATTCGTCTTTTAAAGGTTATTTAACTGCAAATGTCCCTTTAGTTCATTTTGGAACTTTTTAACACCATCAAGAGAAGGTTAGGTATCAAGTATCAAGTTACTTGATATCTCACCAGGATGGAAAGAAACATCATCCAGCATGTAGTTCTAGTCTGTTATATTTATGTTTGTTCTGATCACTGTATTGGGACTTTTATTACATATTTTTCTTTTCTTTTTACATTCTTTATCTTTATTCTTTAATATCCAAAAGACCATTCCGTAAATGGAGTTTTCATAACAGAACAATGAAAGGTCATTTAGAATTTTAGATCTCAAAAGAGTTGCGCATTAGTTAACAGCTTCGAACACTCGTATGACATCTGCAAGAACTTGAATATCTTAAGTAAGGTTCAGTATTCCCAGTATCCACAAACTGCTTTCTCCAACTATACAGACTTCAGTGTCTATGTCCAATACTACCAATACTGCGTAGTGAACCGATACTTTGGGGAAACCCTACGGCGATAATTAGGTAAGGGTTTCTTTACTGCAGTCTTGGCATCCTAGAGCTCTATCACCGGTTCTTGCCACATAAACAGCGCACAAAGAAACCGAAGAGGTAGAAACTCGGATAAGAGGAAGACAGAATACAGAGCTTACTTTATAGACACTTAAGAAAGTTGATCGCGTTAGGTGACAAAGTTAAAGGAAAGTGGAATGGTCGCAAATGGTGACAGAAAAGTTTTGTAAAATTCTAGTAGAAGCATTAATACAAAACCTTAACCTAATGGCACGGAAATCTGGATTGACGGAAAGAATCATACTGTGAGAGAGGATTTTTTCATTGACTACGAACTTTCTCTGATTATACCACCGCTTGTTTCTGCGTGGTATATTGATATAAAATCGCTAATGTGGTCAGAACATCAGGAGTGGAAAATAAAATAAATGGAAAGCTTCCCTGGGGCTCACTGTTGTGCCCAGGGCTAGGAAGATACATGTAACCAGGTACCCAGGGCTAGGAAGATACATGTAACCAGGTACCCAGGGCTAGGAAGATACATGTAACCAGGTACCCAGGGCTAGGAAGATACATAACTTGTAACCTAGCTTCGTGAGGCATGTAAAATTAAGTCCTTTCTAAAATTTTCTCTTATACGTTTAAAGATATAGCATGAAATTTTTTTGAAACATCTACTAAGAAGCAAGATCGCCAACCACCTAGATACCCATCAGTTACACAGCCCGGGGCAACACGGGTTTAGAGCAGGTCTCTCTTGCCTGTTCCAACTACTGGACCACTATGACAAGCTCCTGGATGCTACAGAGGATAAACAAAATGCAGATGTAGTATACACAGACTTTGCAAAAGCCTTCGACAAGTGCGACCATGGTATATTACCACACAAAATGCATGATAAAGGAATAGCAGGAAAAGTTGGTAGATGGATCTATAACTTCCTAACATATAGAACACAAAAAGTAATAGTAAACAGAGTAAAATCTGAAGCAGCTACGGTGAAAAGCTCTGTTCCACAAGGCACAGTACTCGCTCCCATCCTATTCCTCAACCTCATATCTGACAGAGATGTAACAATAGTTTCACGTCTTCCTTTGCAGATGACACCCGAATTGCCATGACAATCCTCCATCGAAGACACCGCACGCAAGACTCCAAGTGGACAATAACCAAATCTTCAAATGGGCCACTCAAAACAATATGAAGTTCAATAAAGAGAAATTTCAACTACTCAGAAATGGAAAACTTGAGGAAATTAAAACACTAAAAGGGCATACAACGAATTCTAACCATACAATAGAGCGAAAAAGCAATGTGAAGGACCTGGGAGTGATAATGTCAGAGGATATTGCCTTCAAAGACCACAACTCTCCATATACTCTGCCCTTCTTATATCACTTCTTCTCTGTAAAAACCTCTCATAAGCGACCTTTTTCTCTTTTACTGCACCCTTTATTTCATCATTCCACCAATCACTCCTCTTTCCTCCTGCACCCACCCTCCTATAACCACAAACTTTAGCCCCATATTCTAATACTGCATTTTTAAAGCTATCCCATCGCTCTTCAACCCCCCCTCCCCCCCACTACTCATATTTGCACCAGCCGACCTTTCTGCCAATAATTGCTTATTTCTCACCCTAATGTCCTCCTCCCATACTAAATAAACTTTCACCTCTCTCTTACTTGTTGTCGCCATTTTCCTTTTGTTCCATCTACCTCTTACTCTAACTGTAGCTACAACTAAATAATGATCCGTTATATCAGTTGCGCCTCTATAAACGTGCACATCCTGGAGCCTACCCATCAACCTTTCATCCACCAATACATAATCTAACAAACTACTTTCATTACGTGCTATATCATATCTTCTTTACATATTTATCCTCTTTTCATAAAATATGTATTACTTATTACAGACCTCTTTCTACACATAGCTCAATTAAAGACTCCCCATTTTCATTTACCCCTGGAACCCCGAATTTCCCTACTACTTCCTCCACAACATTTTTACCAACTTTGAGATTCCCAACTACAAATACACTCTCACTTGGTTCACAACTCTCCATGCATTCAGTATTTCCCTAAATCTCTCTCCTCAACACTAGTCTAAAGCGTCATGCGTTTTCACTCACCGTGAGACGGGCCAAAACAGCATGGGTACAACTCCTTGGCTAGTGCAGCGTTGTTATTGTTCAATACCACTCGTATCGTGGGTACAATAATGTAATATACTGCTTGTTGAGCTAGTATACAAACAGGGGGTAGAATGAAATTAGCTCAGAGGCGTCCACACCACCGCATGTCCTTCGATGGTGGGTACAACATCTAGCTTGGCTGGATGCGCCATTGTTAAGGATAGTGTGGTCTAATGGTCTAAAGCGTCAGGCGTTTTCGCTCACCATTAGGCGGGCCAATACAGCATGGGTTAGACTCCCTGGCTAGTGCAGTGTTGTTATTGATCAATATCACTCTTTCCACCAATCACTCCTCTTTCCTCCTGCACCCACTCTCCTATAACCACAAACTTCTGCCCCACATTCTAATACTGCATTTTAAAACTATTCCAACCCTCTTCAACCCCCCACTACTCATACTTGCACCAGCCCACCTTTCTGCTAATAGTTGCTTATATCTCAACCGAACTTCCTCCTCCCTTAGTTTATACACTTTCACCTCCCTCTTGTTGTTGCCATTTTCCTCTTTTCCCAACCTACCTCTTACTCTCACTGTAGCTACAACTAAATAATGATCCGATATATCAGTTGCCCCTCTATAAACATGTACATCCAGGAGCCTACCCATCAACTTTTTATCCACCAATACATAATCTAACAAACTAATTTCATTGCGTGCTATGTCATACCTTGTATATTTATTTATCTTCTTCATAAAATATGTATTACTTATTACCAAACCTCTTTCTACACATAGCTCAATTAAAGGCTCCCCATTTTCATTTACCCCTGGCACCCTAAATTTACCTACTACTCCCTCCACAACATTTTTGCCCACTTTAGCATTGAAATCCCCAACCACCATTACTCTCACACTTAGTTCAAAACTCCCCACACATTCACTCAACATTTCCCAAAATCTCTCTCTCCTCTACACTTCTCTCTTCTCCAGGTGCATATACGCTTACTATAACCCACTTTTCACATCCAACCTTTATTTTACTCCACATAATCCTTCATCATTATTTCTACTCCTTCTTTAGCTCTAACTCTATTTGAAACCCCTGACCTAATCTATTTATTCCTCTCTACTGAAACTCTCCCACCTCCTTCAGCTTTGTTTCACTTAAAGCCGGGACATCCAGCTTCT